ATATATATATATATATATATATATATATATATATATATTATTATTATTATTTCAAACATTATTATTAGTGGATTTCCGTATTTAAGCAGGCACTTCGTCATTTTGTTATTGAAACATCATATTTCGCCCACCGGCTTGCACCCTCGAGAAAACTCATTACAGAAACAATGTTAGACCAATCAAATACTATTTAAAAAGGTACGATTCCATGATGAAAATAAGAGACAAAGTTTTATCGTCAAAATATTTATGTTATTATTAAGAGGAAAGTGTAAAGTATTTTTCTTATTAACTTATAAATTTTTCCATCATTTCAAGCACGTTTAGAATTTTGGTTAAAAATTTTGGTTTTCTTGCGTCAGCCGATGGGTCAAAGTTTAGTAGAGTAGACTTTAGCTTCTCTTTTGGCGTTAAAAAACACGTTGATTTGAAAATTCTTGCAAAGATCAAATAATTGTCAGATTTTAAGGAAATTTTCAAGCCTTATTCACGGAGGATGAAAATTATTTTTTTTTAAAATGTTTTTTGGAAAATCTCGGTAAAAATATATATTTTTATATATCTGTTTGTTCCATTGAATTTTATTTTAAAATCTCAGATTCTTCATATTTATATTAGTTACGATCATTACGCCTTGGAGAATATAAATCCTAAAGTTATTTTTGTCAAGACATTTACCGAATACCTGCTGTGAATCGTAAAATAAATTAATTCAATAAAAGAATGATAATTTAATCAGAAAAGCTTTTAACTGCTTTTAAAAATATGATATATTAAGGAAAGTATTGTCTTAATAAAAAAAAAACAATCGATGAATAATGCATTTTTGTCAGAATTGTTTTCATTTTCTAAAAGTTCTAATTAGAAAAAATTATTAAGTTTTAAATTTTTCCAAATTATGTATTAATTTTAACATTTTAGAACTAGATTTACTTATAAATACAAAAGCTTAACACAAATCATCAAACGCCAATATTTTAAAAAGAATTTTGAATATTTTGTATGTGTATAAACGTGCCGATGTTTGAACCATGTCGACCTACATGATATTATCAGAAAATAAGAGCAATAACCATAATAAATTTAAACGCGAAATTTTAAAAATTCAATAAAACTTAGATTACAGAGTATATTTTCGTATAATTTTAAGACTGCTGAATACTTAAAAAATATATAAAAAGGCGATCACATCATTTGCTTCAAGTATGTTTTCCAGATAAAGACTCCGTAGAAAAACGTTAAATTTGTCATCAGGCTGTTAACACAGCAAACCAGCTACTGTCAGGTTAAAAACGCAGTTTCAGTCGCGTTAAAAATGCATCTCTGCCTTATTTTAAACTTAAAATAAATAATATTTGTTTCAAATCAGATTAATTATATTTTATATCAGCTAATATTCCGAAAATAAAATTTCAGATAAGTATATTTTATTTTTGGAAGATATTTTTAAAAAAGATAATCATATTGTGATGAAAAACGACTATAAAAGGGCGCTAATCAGCATTTTTAGCAAAAAAAAAATCTGGTTCCTGCCAATTTAAATTATATTTTGATATCGAGCAACGTATTTTGCTTAATATTAAATTTAATCTATTAATTTGAAATTAAAACAAAAATAAAGGCCTCAAGAACGAGTTTTCGTTTTTAAAAATTCGTTTAAAACTTAGGTATCGCGTCTTGTGAAAATTCACCTAGTTTAAAAAACAAAAACAAAATAAAACAAAAAACAAAAAACGAGCATCTAACACAAATAGGTGTGTCCAACAAATATAACTTTTGAAGTAATACAAATATACATGATTAAATATATACACTACAAGCAAAATGTTTGTGGACATCCTGCATTACTTTAAAATACACTCTAATATGAGATTTGTTTTCTTTGATGTATGAGATAACAATTCCGTAACTACAGTGTATTAAATTTTTTTCTGTCATTCCTTTGTCCAGGTTTCGCTTACGACCAAAATTTTGATTCATCTGTCGACAATACAGTTTGCTAAATTATTGATATTTTTTTATGCGAAATAATATATTTAGATTTTAACAATTACCTTCTCAGTATAAATAAGTTTAAATGTTAAAACATGTTCTAAAAGCCAACTCAACACTGACTAATGTTCTAAACAAAACATGTTTCAGTACACTATTCACATTGATTGGACTATTGTCCCCTTCTTTGTTGTCATATTTATCACAACGTATCGACCATTGTACGCTCCGGCCTTCTTCAGGTGATTGTAATGTCGAACTCAACCCATTATTTCGCTCGCTGGTTTAGACTGTTCTAGTTCCACGTGCTATGTCTAATGGGTGTCAGTTATCAGTTATCTTCTGTTAATTCCCCTCTCCAAGTTCTCCACTGCCTTGACGAGGTATTGAACTCACGCACTTTGGGTGCTGTCAATGGATCTAACTAACGCCTTTATCCACGCCTTTATCCAATGTGCCATGCACCCTCACTGACATAACTGATACCTAATATATGGAAACAGGACAGTCTACCCCGGCGAGCCAAACAAAAAAGAAGGAAACTTATAACGGTCGATACATTGAGATAAATATGGCAAAAACGTTGAGGACGATAGTCCGAACAATGTAAAAAGTGTACATAATACCTCATCTCAGAAATATAAATAGATATGTAGCAGTTTCTATTTAAAGAAAAATACTTGTACCATTACGACTGTATTTTCATTGTTTTTTTTTTTTGTTGTTTTTGTTTTTTATTTAATTTTAATTTTAAAGAAATTTACAAAAAATTGCAAAATCAAAGAAGCCTAGCATTGGGTTGAGAACAAAAGTTGAAATTTTATTCAAAGCAGGCTCCTGTCAAAGACAAGTGGCCAAGAATTTGACGATTTATAGATTATTCGTTACAATGGCAGCTGGAAACTGGTGCAGATGTTGGTAGAGTATCAAAACTGACAAATACTGTTGAAGATAACCACTTGATTATCGAGAGTAAAACAAAATAAAAAAAAAAATTCCTCGCGGTGTGAAAATCGACTTAGATCAGTGAAGGTACATGAGCATCAAGAAACTCCTGCTATGGAAGGTGAATAAACAGGAATTAGAGGTAAAAAGTATCAGAAGTAAATATTGAAAATGTGGCAAAGTATATTATGGACAGATGAATCCATATTTTAGTTTTAGGTAGTAAAAAGATATTGCATGTGTTAAAAAAGCCGGGAGAAAGTCTGAATTATGGTGTTGGGTCTCTTATGGTGTTAGCGTGTTTTTGGGAGTGAGGGCTGGAGATATGATTCATGTTTTATATCATTTGATTTTACAAACGCATGCTATACCTTGTGTTTTACGCATAAATGGAAAAATAATTCAGCTTTATCTCAAAATTACCTCGAGCGAAAGAAAAGAAAAAAAGTTCTAGAAATTATGACATAGCTGCCTCAACTTCCTGACCATTCTCTCATTAAATTAGTATGGGATTAATTTGATAGGAGATTTTGAAGAGATTACTCAAAGCGTGAGAGAAAGCATTTTTAGTGATTGAAGAATGCTTGCAAAGGTCTGGAATCAGTTTTTTTTTTTTTTTTTTTTTTAATTCTGCTAAGAATGCCAAGTAGGGTAGTAATAAAAACGAGTGGCTGTTTTACTGACGAAAACACAAAATGATATTGTTGCATAATAATTTGTTTTATAAAAATTTGATAAAAACAAATAAGCTTCTACAGTTTAGTAAGTAAAATGTTGCCTTTTACTTAAAAAAATATCTCACTTTTGTGTTTTTTTAAGAAAAAAGGGTTTGTCCCAAATCTTTTCTTGCAGTGAATATATATATATATATATATATATATATATATATATATATATATATGGGGGAGAGATCACGTGAACTAAAAGACCGCATCTACGAACACGAGGGAGACTTGTGTTTAGAAAATCGATCTAACTTTCACGTTTTGAATCAAAACAATGCTAGACATGAATTTAATTTCACTAATGCCAACCTAAGTAAAAAAAACATAATTCTTTCAGGAGAAAATACATGGAAATTTAATAACATCATTAACATTATTACCAACTACAAGCACACGCCTAAAACATTGCATGTCAACGCTATCTTTCTTTGAATCCATTCTTAAAGAATCTAACTTTTATCAATCTATACAAAGTATACATTCTTAAAAAGGGGAGCCATAGACTAGAAACATGTGACTCTTTGTTGCGAGGATTGAGCGCACAAACTTGACAGACACACGCACGCAATTACAAATATACTTTACCATCCGTTGCCCACTTAGTAATACAAGAATCTTTACGAACCTACAAATAGAATTATTCACGGTTTTAATACACGTCTCTGACCAATGAAAACAGACCCAAACAAGTAAAAATACTAGTGTTTTCTCTCAGTCACTGAAGAAGCTTTAGTAAAACGAAACATGTTAGACTGATATATATTTGATCTACATTTGATTTATTTATATATATATATATATATATATATATATATATATATATATATATATATATATATATATATATATATATATATGTGTGTGTGTAGTGTGTATATATATATATATATATATATATATATATGCACATTTTCAGAGTCGCTTTCAGTGCTCGAGACACTTATCATATCCTTTTAGACATTTAAGCGTATAAATTCGCACCAAAGATGTAGATACGCATGCGTAACAAAAACTGCTGATCCAATCAGCGACAAAACATTCCAAGTTAGAGATGGCATTGCTTTATTTTATAAATGCGGAGTGCGAGAGGTGGAATGTTGATGTGTAAAAGTGGCGGAAAATAGGGAAACATGAAGAAAATATTTTGTTTTTTCTTCAAAAGCAGAGATAAGGTAAAATATCTGAAGAAAATTGGAGGGAAAATCAGACGTCAAAATTAGCATTACGGAAAAGGATTTTTTTTTTACTGTTAATCCGAAGAGAAAAATAGGGATAAGGCAAAGGGGAATGAAAAGTAATTTTCACAAAATGGAGGGGGTTAGATTAAAACAAATACCGTCAGAAGAGGGATTGAGAAGTCGAAAGTGCGTGAAAAGGCAATAATGAAAGAAGGAAAGAAATGAGGAAAGAAAGAAAGAAACAAGGTAAAAAGAAGGAAGTAATGCTAAATGATTGAATGTAAAGTAAAACTTTGAGAAGAAAGAAACACAGCAACCTAAGCGAATTAAAGAATTAAGAAGAATAAATTAAAAGAAGCAAAAAAAAAATATTATGAATGAAAAGAAAAAGTAAAAAAGTAGAAATTGAAAAAGAAAATAAATGAGAGGAAAATGAATGATTCAAAATAAATAAGAGGAATAAAAAAGAAAGAATGCAAATTAAATGAATGAAAAATTGTGAAGAATACATTGCAAGAAAGAAAGTAAAATAAATTAATTAAAATGAAGACGGTTAAATTAAAAGATAAAAAGAAAATGAATGAAAAAATAAGAAGGATAAAGTGAAAGGAAAAAAAACAATTAATGAAAGAAAAGTAAATGAAAGAAAATAAAAATTAAGAATACATTAAAAGGAATAAGAAAGAAAGAAAGAAAGAAAAGAAGAAAGAAAGAAAGTAAGAAAGAAAGAAATAAAGAAAGAAAGAAAGAAAGAAAGGAAGGAAGGAAGGAAGGAAGAATACAAATTGAACGAATGAAACGAACAACTGAGAAGAATGCATTGCCAGAAAGAAAGAAATAAGTGACTTAAAAATGAAGAAGGATAAATTGAAAGAAAGAAAGAAAGAAAAATAAATGAAAAGGACAAAATAATAATAATTTGAAATAAAAAAAATGAATGAAACTAAAGAAATAAGAAAAGAATAAGAAGGAAGGAAAGAAAATATAAATGAAAGAAAGGAAAAATGAAGATAGATTAATAGGTAAAAGAAACATTTTGAAAAAGGAAACAACTTGTAGAATACTAAAAGAAACTCATACTCATGAGAATGAAAATGAAGGAAAAAAACGAAAGAAAAATATTTCTAAATAAATGAAAAGAAACGAAGAGAAAAACAAATGCAATTAACAAAAATGTTCAGATAATAACCAAGAAATAAAATAGAAAGAAAGCAGAAAATAAATTAGAAATAACTGGAAAAGAAAGAGCAACCGACAATTAAAAATCAACAAGAATTGAAGAACAAACCCATACAGAGAAAGAAATGCAGTTTGATGAGAAGAGGACATACATAAAAAAAGGAAATAAATTGACCTGAGTGACATAGAAAAATAAATAAATATTAATTCATCGGTAAAGGAGAACAACAGAAAATAGAACACAAGACAAATGGCTCCGCAAAAGAAAGCGAAAGATAGTGGTTAGGAAGATGATTGAGGAGACAAAGACAATTTTTGAAAAGAATTTAAAAAGAAAAAGGAAACGTATTCAGAAATTATAGACTGAATTGACAGAAGCAATGAATGAATGATAAATTCAAGAACAAATGAAAGAAAGTAAGATGATTGGCAAAAGAGAAATGAAATAAGGCAAGAGAGTGATGAATAAAACAAAATAAAATAGAAATAGGATGAAAAAGAAAGAAAAATGAGAAAGAGAAAACAAAACGAAAGGAATAAAAAAAAATATGGGAACTGGAAACAAAAAAGGGTAAAAATCGAAAATAGACGTTTGGAGGGTAAGAAAAATTCCAGAAATAAAAGAAAGGTAAAAAAAATAAAAATAAAAATATTGAAAATCAACAAAGGAAAATATATAATAAAAAAAAATACCTTGAAAATGACAAAAAAAAAAAAAAAAAATATCTGCACATGCGCAGAAAAGACAGAAAATATAAAGAAGTAAAACTTGAAACAAAAAAGCAATCGGTGCTGTTACGACTGACTCCACTTCCATCTCGTCAAAAAGTTAGCCCTGCAGATATTGACGTAATCGTCAGTGGGATTTTTGAAAATGATAGAAAAATAAGAAAAGATAAAAAGGAAAGAAAAAAAAAAATTGGAACCCTTTGGCCGACATTTTTGTTCGTTTTGTCGATATGTGGTATCTGCTCCACTGTAAGTTGCAACTTCTACTTGAAGGCTTCTGTGTCAACACTTTAACAATTTGTCACCGGGCGGTGGGTTCCACCGATAATCAAAACGTGAAGACCTTCAGACGGCTCGGTGGGTAATTGCCAGGCAGACGACATCTCATATAAGTAACATATCTCTATGACATCATAATGGGCATCTATTTTTGCGTTTTTTCTTTTTGCTACTTTTGCATAGGAATTAACCCCCGTCGCCTACAAAAGGCCATGGATCTTTGTTTCAGGCAAATTTTATTGGGAAGCATTTTTTTCCTTTACTTTTTGTAATAATATTTCTTTCATTCTTTCTTTCTTTACTGTTATTTTTAACATAGTATTTCGTACTTTTTATCATTCATGCCTTATTCTATTTATCCTGGATTTTTATTTCGCGTGCGTTTCTTTCTTTCAAATGCGTAAAGTAAAATATCCAATATTATTTCATGACAAACTTATTTGAAACGAAATTTTTTCGTATATATTTTTTACGTATACCTTATCTTTTAACTTGATGTTGTTCTCAACAAAGTTTTCAAGACGTATGCTTTCCTTTTCTTCTTTTTTTTTTCTAAAATTTCATTTTGACCGAGACTTACTTTTTGCTTTCGTCTGTGTATCTTTCGATTTAGAATATATTTTCCTCTTTTTGTTGTTCGCTTTCACTGATAGCATTTTTCTTTATATTCCCTTTGTTTATAGTGTACTTTCTTTTACATTAAAATGCTAAATATCTTCAATTTTTAATAAGCACAGTTGTGAGAATATGTGACATTTTAAAAGTATTTTTCTTGTTAATTCAGTATTTTATTTACTTTTCAAAACAGTTTTTTCTTAGAAGTTTTCCTTGACATATCCTTTCTTTCATTCTTTCTTTCTTTCGCTTCAACATGTTTCGCTGGTATTGTTTTATCTTTCATATGTTAGCGACTTTTACTTTGATTTTTTCTTTTTTTACTATAAGTTTTTTTTTCTTGCTTATTTCTTTCTTTCTTTTCTTTATTTCTTTCTTTCCTTTTTTACTTCTTTCTTTCTTCTTTCTTTCCTTGCTTATTTATTTCTTCCTATTTTCTTTTTTCCTTTATTGCTTTCATTCTTTTTTTCTTTTCATCTTTCATCTTTTCTTTATGTCTTTCTGTTCGTTTTTCTTCGCTTATTTATTTTCTTCCTTTTTTCTTTCTTTCTTTACTTACTTTTTTCTATGCTTATTATTTCTTCTTTTTTTCTTTATTCATTTATTTTTGCCTTTACCTCTTTCTTCGTTTCTTTCTTTATTTTTTCTTTCCGTGTTTACTTCTTTCTTTCTTACTTTTCTTCTTTCCTTGCATATATATTTCTTTCTTTTTTAAGTCTTTTCTTTCTTTTTTCTTTACTTCTTTCTTCGTTTCTTTCTATATTTCCATGCTTATTTTTTTTTCTTTATCTCTTCAAGATATGCTTTCCCTCGTTCTACTTTGTTTCGTATTCGTATTTCTCTTCCATTTTTTACTTAATTATTTTTTACTGTTTTTTTAAAAAGCAAACTCTATTTTTAAATAGTCATTACCCAACCTTTACATTTCTTCGTTTTCTCCTTCTTTCCTTCGTTGTATTTATTTTTTATTCTTTTAGTAATGTTTTTTCTCCTCTTGCACTTCTAGACCTTTTCATAAATAATACACACACACACACACACACACACACACACACACACACACATATATATATATATATAACAGATAGTTATGAGTCCATTTAGAAAGAAATATTTATAATATATATTTTCTTTTAATTTTATTTGTACTTCCAGCTTACCGCAGCATTTCTACTTCGCTTTCATTTATTTCTTCACTCAAAATTCACTTACGTTTTTTCTTCGTTCATTGTTTATATCGACTTGTGTTTATTTTTCTTTGCCATTTTGATACATGATATTTCTTCCACAACGCTAATAGGTTTCCGTTTGATATTCTATGAATTACTCGTTAATTGTAGATTCTGAATTTTTACGAATTTCATCTCAAGAAGGTAATAGAGTCACTAAGAGGCATAATGTTACTAACTATGAAAATTCATTAACAATCAAAAACGACAATAGAATAGTAACTTTTTGAAAAAAAAAAAAATTGACTGGGAAGCAAGAAGGGAGTTCCATCTGTCTTACAAAAAAAAAAAAAAAAAAAAACAATTTTTTACTTACCATTCTTACTACATCCACCGTCAGTCTGCACAGACTCAGGTTAAAATCATTTTGACTCCGACCTACTCTCTTCCCAAATGAGCAATGCTGAGAGGAAAAAGATCATTCAGTAATGGTACCAACGTGCATACGCTAACTTCCATCTTCAAAGTCTATTCCAAAACCACCGACAAAGCGTTGAATAAGTTTAAAAAAATGGGAAGAGTAGAGAAGAAAACTGAATCAGGATGTCACAACAGGAAGAAGGAATATCATTTTAACATAGAGCTTAAGAGATCAATTAGAAAAAGATTCAACTCAGTTCATAAGATGTTTTGCTCGTGAGAGTGGGGTTCCAATATGGCTGTCCAAAGAGCAGAGAGAAAAAAAAAAGACTTGAAAATAAAATCGGACATGAAACATGTAAAGTACTTTGTTACAGCAGAGCAGAAATTTAGAAGTTTAGAAAGGTTCTCATTCTAGATAGATAACCGAAATGATTTTTTTAGTGACTTTTACGAAAAATAGTGTCAAGATGGCTAAACGGCTTATTTGAAAACCTATAAAAATGAAACGCAATTAGTTTAGTGGTACATTAGATATTAAACATTTTGTGAGATTGATTACTATTAGAAGATTTGGACAATTTTGCTGTTACAATATTTGGACAATTTTGCTGTTACACCTGGTATATTTATACTTTGCTTTTAAAAGAATATAATTCAAAGGTTTAATTCGGTACACGGTATGGTTTTACAGTACCTTTCTTTTTATTAAGACTCTCTTCGTAGAATAGTGTCCATTAATATTGAAGGTGCTGCCGATATCGCAATGATAATGGTTATATTAATATTAGCCATTTCCTTATAAGGAAACATTTGGTATCCATTGAGTGAACAGCCAGTGCTACTATCGGTTAGAATTCATAAAAAAAAACCTTTCTCTTGATAGAAGTTTTCAGGAAAATACGTTTATCAAGTCCACTAACGTTTACCGCATTTTCCAGTATTGACGGGAATTTCCTTTAGTTTGTAGTAGTGTGGAATGTCAGTATATTGATCATGTTATTATTTCCACTTTGAGTTACAGCTGCTATCCATTTTAGTTGTTGCTACTTTTGAAATTCATCAAATAATAAGATTTCTCATCGTTGCCATTTTCTTTTATTTTATTGAGCAAGTCCATAAGATTCAAAGAAAAATCATTTTCCCTGAGACCTGAATTTCTCAATATCTGTCTATATTTCTGAGATTATGTACATTATTTACATTATTCGGACTATTGTCCTCATCTTTGTCGCCATATTTATTACAACGTTTCGGCCTTTCAGTATCTGTCTATATTTCTGAGATGAGGTATTATGTACACTATTTACATTATTCGGACTATTGTCCTCATCTTTGTCGCCATATTTATTACAACGTTTCGGCCCTTCAGTATCTGTCTGTATTTCTGAGATGAGGTATTATGTACACTATTTTCATTATTCGGACTATTGTCCTCATCTTTGTCGACATATTTATTACAACATTTCGGCATTTCAGTATTTGTCTTTTTTTTTTAGATGAGGTATTATGTACATTATTTACATTATTCGGACTATTGTCCTCATCTTTGTCGTCATATTTATTACAACGTTTCGGCCTTTCAGTATCTGTCTATATTTCTGAGATGAGGTATTATGTACATTATTTACATTATTCGGACTACTGTCCCCACCTTTGTCGCCATATTAATTACAACGTTTCGGCCAATTGTACGCCCTGGACTTTTCAGTATCTTTGTATATTTCGGAAATGAGGTATTATATACATTATTTACTTTATTCGGACTATTGTCTTCATGTTTTTCGCCATATTTATTACAACACTTCGGCCGGTGTACGCTCCGGGCTTCTTCAGTTGGTTGGAATGTCGAACTGGACCCTTTATTTCGCTCACTGGGGTAAACTATTCTAGTTCGACGTGCCATGTTTAATTGATGTCAGTTATCAGTAATCTCCTGTTAATTTTCCCTCGGAAAGTTCTCCACTTCCTTAACCGGGTATTGAACTCACACATTTTGGGTCCTGTCACTGGCTCTAACCGACGCCTTCCACCTTGCCATGTGTCCTGCTTCTCTCAGTGTAATTTTTAACCATTGATCTGAGAAATCGTTTGTATAAAGCTAACAGTTAATGTATTTGTGAACGAGTTTGTCTCTATGCATGACATCCATATGAAAGTTTCAATATGACGTGGTTATTAAATAACATGACACGAGTTTTTGGGTTAATGTTTTGTTCTGGCAGCAATTAGAGTTGTTGGGCGAAAATAACCATGGCACATTGCTAGGTTCATTTTTCTTATATCCAAATGGCTGAATTCACAGTTCCACAAATACTCATGGGAATTGTCTTAATTCAGCTATGTGTTAAAGAACAGGACCGACTAGTCACTCTAGACAGGCAGGCTATAGACACTAAATGAAAGTATGGAGCCAGTCAATTCATAATATAAAAATAGTTTCTATGTGAAGTACAACGCATAGAGTATGAAAGTTTCTATCTATTTCCTATCTATCTATCTATCTATCTATCTATCTATCTATATATATGCATATATATAACATTATTTACATTATTCGAACTATTGTCCTCATCTTTGTCGCCATATTCATATATATATATATATATATATATATATATATATATATATATATATATATATATATATATATATATATATCCAAGTATGGGATTGGTGTATACGGAATAGTTTACAATAACCAACAAATACTATTCTTAAAAGACTGCTCAATACAGAGTAGAGCAAATATATTCATTCATTCGAAAATTATAGCATAAAAATGATATAAAATCACTACAAAAATAGCCATTTTTTTTCAACAATTCTGGTGTCTTATCAAGTGATGGTGTTGAATTGGATCGTATTTACGATTCCAATGGAATAAATTATGACCATGG